AAACAACATGCTTCTGTTGCCTGTGGTTGCTACTTGTCTTGATGGCAGTCCAGCAAATTTAACTCCCAGCTCTACACCAGCCTGGCAAATTGCTACTAAAAAAATCTCATCTTCCTCCATTTTTGGCTTGTATGCCATATATACAGACCCTGGACTGGAGGAGACACTTTCAGGCAACGTCTACGTTGTCAAGTAGCCTCTCTTCCTCTTTTATGCTCTCTCCCTCTTTAACTCCAGGGCCTTAATACCCTTTAAATCCCCACTGCAAAACAGACAAGATCTCTATCAAGTTTGGTGCATCTGCATGGGTGACTCCTCTGACATCCCAGCCAGCCTCAAGCCCCTCTCTCTTCCTACTCCATCCCCTCAGCCTGCAGGACAGACCCCAAGGACTGTGCTATTAAAGCACTACTGGCGGTGGTGACAAAGCTTTCTTTTTATTCCTAGAAAACAACACACTTACCCACACCCTGGCAAGGAGATATGTTCCGCACAAGGAAACTCAAATCTGGGCTGTGTGGGAGCAGCCAGCCCACATAGCCTGCAGCAGAGTGGACACAGCCAGTCTCACCCAGACCATGGCTTTCTCCTGGGTGTGGACAACAAGGACACTGTGGACAAAGCTATATGCTATCTATTTATTTATTCATTTATATGAACCTAGAGCTTGAACAATGGTAATAGTGCTCATACTCTCCCACTCAAACAGAGCATCTCTTCAGTGCTGAATCGCCATGTGCAGATGGGTGGGATGGCAGCACTGGGGCTATGCACACGTGTGGTCTCGCTAAAAAAAAACTGAGTGAACAGAAGCACATCAGCATCTGTAATGGCATCATCATACTAGCTGATTTGCGTGCAGTACCATTAATATACTATGTGATAACATTTTGCCAGTGCTGTGCAGCGAGGACATTGCGGCAAAAGCCGTCTTGAACAGCAGTGACTGGCTGGTACTAAAGCTAAACTGTGGAAAGGTCTTTCTTGTTGAGCAAGCTCGCTTGCCAGTGACGCGAGGGAAGCGGGGGTGCTGGTGACTCACAGCTCTCCTGTTTCAAGAAGAAAAGATATCTGGCCTAAGGATTGTCTGCCTTATGCAGAAAGGGCAGTAGACCCACTGTAATGGCCCTGAGGAGGAGAGAGCCCTGTGGATTCCTTCCATGCATGTCTGCTGAGAAGAGACGTCAGAGAACAGAGCCAAAAAGCATGATCTGAAAGAAATATGAAAAGCTAACACTGCTCCCTCGTCCTCAAGCAAAGGTGGAGGGGTGACCAGACATCCAATTTTCTCTGTGCTTCCCAAATAGAAATAACGCAGCTGACTGATTTAGAAGGTCAGCACTCGGAGCAAAGTTGCGTTCTCCCTGGCCTTGCGTTTTGCTTTGTCATGCCCACCTGAGCTCAGCCGTTTCCATGTTTTTTGTTTTCTTAAATTAAGCACTCCCAAATTGAAATCTCTTCTGTTTATGCCACAGATCTCCCAGAGCTTAAAAAATAAACAAAGAGGGATGAGCAGAGACTCTCTCACATGGAGATACACAAGGCCGTCTCAGGCCCAGCAGCCGCTTCATTCATGTAGTGCTCCAGTTTGACACTTCTGCTGCACTGTCAGGTTACATCAGGCAGAGCAGCTGTTGTGCAAATCCAGCTGTGGTGCATCCAAGGTGCAAGCTGGTGGGCATACGCTGCGTGGCACGATGTTGTGCGGTATGGATGCTCCCTGCGACGAAATGGACAGATTGACCTGGGATATGCCACACCTTCCTTCTGCTGAATGGAAGAACTAGCTCAGTTCTCATTCCCTTCCCGCTGCGTCCTCTCTGCTGGACCACGAGTTGCTGCTAGTCTGACGTGAACACCCCCTTTGCTCCTTCTTCTCAGGCTTACGCGCTGGAAGGGAATTTGGAGCTGGAGCTGGTGAGAACGGCCTGCATGTGCAAAGTGGTGATCTGCTGCCGGGTGACTCCACTGCAGAAGGCGCAGGTGGTGGAGCTGGTGAAGAAGTACAAGAAGGCTGTGACCCTGGCAATCGGAGATGGTGCTAACGATGTCAGCATGATCAAAAGTGAGTGGTGGACGACAGCCGGCATGCTCTAGCTAAACTGACTCGTTGTGTATTTGCTATCTGAGGTGACCTAGCAGCAGGAACACATATCTGAGTGCCTTCTGTACCACCTTCTTCGTGGCACCGAGGGGCTGTGTCCCAAGTTGTGGGGGGTTTCTACAGAGCACTCTCACTATGGACTACTCGTGTCTCCTGCCTTCTGGGACACACAGGAGGGCTCTTTGCTGTGCTCCCACCTCCAGGATTGCAGGAAGCTGAGGTGACACTTATTGCCAATTTCTCTGTTTCTACCTTAGAACAGACAAAAGCCCACCGGGGCCATGATGTCCACCCGTATCTCTCCATGGCCACCGTCACAGGGGCAATACACAGAACAAACAAGTTTGTTTCAGGGAAGGCCTGCCTGCAATGCAGGTAGAAAATTTTGTTGCCTGTAAATAGTCTGTAGAATGTTACAAGACTGTTTTAAACACTTCCATGTGGTAGGGCCATTTGTCAATTATCTCCCTTGAGTTATAAATCATGGGCTTCTAGGCCCCTTCGTCCTTGAGCATCATTTGCTGCTGCATTACCACAGTGCATTTATGAAAAAAAATCCCCTAACTAGGTATAATTAAATTAAGATTATTCAGAAGAGCCTATTGCTAATCTTCCTTGTGTTAATTTGCAAGAATTGATTAAGTGGAGCCTTTTAATTAAGAAAGAAAAGGCTAAGTAGGGAGCTTCAAGGGAGATAAGTCAGGCAGTCAGTAAAGAAAGGATAAGAAAAGCAAGTTAAAGTGTACATGATAATTAGAAACTACCCCTCCTCCCCCCACAAGAGGGTTGGGACTTTGGGATTTTATCAATTCACTGTTCCGTGGAAACCCCTGAATCTAACCAACCTCCAGCCATCAAGATTGTTCTCATTAGTTAAAGCTGTATAATTAGCTGTCACATTAAACTTATGTCCATGTTTAATAAACCCAAGCTACTATTAAAAAAGACGTGATTCTTCTATCTAATGATTTGATTGAAATAATAAAGCCTAGGAAATATAAAAAGGCTACAGTCTGCCTTGTAGCACTGTGTCTGAGGTATCTATAAGGAGTTTGAAGATTTTGCTTGTCTGGAGCAGTATTTTAAGACAGCTGGAAGGACATGCAAGCATGTAAATACAAGTCACGTACAAATATAAATTAAAGTTATTTTTTCGTAACAGTAGCTGCTATGAACAACAGCATTCATGCTGTTGGAAAACATTCAGAAAGAAAACATGAATTGTCACTGAGGGTGTAATTTCATTCAAATAATACAAGCCCAGTTACTGGCGGTGTATCACTTCAGCCAAAATCATAATGCCGCTGAAAGAATTAGTGCCCCAGGTTATTTTTATTTTTTAAAAAATATCTTTACATGTGACTTTTTATGAAGGTTGGGAGGGAATTAACACCATGTCCCAGTGCAGGGGACTCTTACAAAATGGGGTAATGAAAACTCTCACTGTAGTGACATGGCCCATAACCTTGTTGTTGCAGCTGCTCACATCGGCGTTGGTATCAGTGGTCAGGAGGGGATGCAGGCGGTCTTGTCCAGTGACTTCTCGTTTGCCCAGTTCCGTTACCTGCAGCGCCTGCTCTTGGTCCATGGCCGGTGGTCCTACATCCGCATGTGCAAGTTCCTCAAATACTTCTTCTATAAGAATTTTGCCTTCACGTTGGTGCATTTCTGGTACGGCTTCTTCTCTGGCTTCTCAGCACAGGTACGTCCAGCTTCTGCTTTCTTGTGGTCATGTCTACCATTTTCAAGTAAAGTATTTGGAAACATTTTAAAAGAAACTAAACTAAGCCAGTCCCCTCCCTCACTGAACAGCACACAGGTCTGTCTTCTTCAGACGTGGGAGTATAAAGCAGGTACTGCTGCCTTCACTGTGCTGCTGGTGGTAGAGGACAGATGCCTGAAGACATTTAGGTGCATTATGAAGCACATAGGTACCTTGTGGGGTTTTCATTCAAACAGCCATCAACGAAGGGTACAGATTACTCAGGGGCCTGACCAGTTTGGCGCAGATCTGTGTGAGACCCATGCTTGCCCTGTTAGCACATCTGAAGCCATCAGTTTAACCCCAGGGTGCCTGTGTGCTCCAGCAGCCTGGAAGAGGGGCAAATCTCCTGCAGCGAAAAATCTGCCAGTGGTTTATGACAAACCAATCTCCGCACTCAGACCCTGGGATGGGCGGATAGTGTGTGAACCCCTTCTCCCTGGGGCTGGGGGTGCCGGGTGTCCCCCCTCAAGGGGCAGTGCTCCCCCCTTCCGGCGGCTGCTCACGGTGCCAGGGGGAATCGGGTCCTGCTCAGCATCACCTTGTGCTTTTGGTCTCAGTAGCATCTTGAACCAAGATGTTCCAGCATTTAATTGTGTACCTTTTGAGGAGATGGAAAAGGCAGCCTTTCGCTACCTTCATGCTCTTTTATTTCTTTTTTTTTTTTTTTTAATCAGACTGTCTATGATGAGTGGTTCATTACGCTTTACAATTTGGTATATACTTCCCTCCCGGTGCTAGGAATGAGCCTCTTCGATCAGGTACTGTTTCTATCACCACTTGGTATTGTTTACAGGGGTTTTATCTGCAGATGCTTTGAGCTGGTTCCATGAAGCAAAAACAGCTGACTTCTTGGCTAGCTGTTGAGGTAGTTCCCAACATAGTTTCCTGCCAGTGAAGCCTGAGAGCACAAAAAAAGGATGCACCAGGGAGGAGATGGTATATTATTTGGCTTGTGTGTTTCAGTGCATGATGAGACTCTTGGGTTAGGCTATTGACTACAGCAAAAGCTGTCATTACATAGTTCCCCTGAAGTAGTCACATCTTTCTAGCTGTGTTCCTGAAGCCTGACAAGTGAATTTTAATGACCACACAGAACAATGAATGAACTAACTAGGACTATGAAGCCAGGTTTTCCAGGTTCAGCCTTATCTAGTGGAAGTCTTCCTGCAGTAATTTCACATACACGTTTTCACCTCCTGTGCCATTACTGTTCAGCAATAAAGCTGCTCCTGTATGCCTTTTATGAGTTAAGTAAGTAGGAACTTGCTATTCCGCAATGGTTCACAGTGTTCAGCTCTAGACACTTAAGGGATCCAGCTCAGACAGCCTTGCCTGTGTGTGGACCCAGTGGAGGTAATTTCTATCCCTTAGCTTCCAGGCAACTCTCACAAGAGCAGACCGTGCAGTCTGCTTAAGATAAAGTGTAGCTTCATTTTTATTTTTTTTTTTCAGCACTTGTCAGCTTTCTCAGCATGAGAAAGGTGAAATTCAACACGAAAAATGTGTCTAGGTGACTTTGGGATATGGCACACTCATCAGCACAACTGAGTAAATTGTGTGCTAAGCCTTTTCTCATGGAAATGCATATCACAGGGACATGGCAACCCGAAGAGGTCTTGTGCGGTTGGTTGGGTAGATGCCAGCAAATTTGACCATCTCCTATCTACTTTCAGGATGTGGATGATCGCTGGAGTATGCTCTTTCCTCAGCTATATGTACCCGGCCAGCAAAACCTCTATTTCAACAAAATGGTGTTTGTCAAGTGCATGTTGCAAGGGATCTACAGCTCCCTCATTCTCTTCTTCATCCCCTATGGGGCCATGTACAATACAATGAGAAGTGATGGGAAGGCCATTGCTGACTACCAGTCCTTTGCACTGATGGTCCAGACCTGCTTATTGATCGTGGTGTCTGTACAGGTAAGGAATCCTAGGTAATGTTTTTAGGAATTCATTGTTGTTTCATGAAGGTATCATCTGGAGGGCCACTTAGGATCTTGATAGCATTGTATTTGCTGCTGCATCTTGCATTGTTCAAAGAAAAAGTCTCTTGACACCAGATTTCTCTCCTCAGTTCAACTGAACAACAGATTTGTATGTTATGAAAGATCTGGGTGACAGGAAAGCAGAGTCTTTGCCTTGGGAAGTTTACAGTCATAGCAGACAGAACAGTTAATACTGGAAGTAGAGAAGGACTCACTACAGTTTTATGGGATAGGTTTGAAGCACAGGACTCTCTGTCTGCTATCTGGCCATTATTTCTAGGGTCTCCATCATGAGGCTGTCTCTGTAGCCTGTTCCCGTGCATGATGCAGATGGTAGAACTGCACTTGCTGGAAGAAATAGCTAAGACTTGGGTGGTACAAAATTCAGATGGTAGTAGCAGGATAAGAGAAATGTCTTAAAAGAAAAGCTAATCAATCATGCCTCCCTAGATAATGGTTTCTGCTGTCTGGGGTCTTCTAGGCTCCTTCTCCTAACCTTCAGTGCTAGAATACAGCTTGGTGGTGGGGACATAAGGATGGCTCATTTGAACTTAGTAGCCTGTCTGCAGTGCTGGCCACTGGTGAATGCTTGAGAAGAGTGCAACAAGGCAAATGTAGTAATGCTTGCCTTGAATGGTGTCCCATCATCCTATGATCTGTGGCTTGGTATTTCTTGAGACTTGAATGAATAACAGCCCTGGGAGCAGGGGTACAAAGAAGAGAACAAGACCTCTAGCTGTGTTCAGGACAGATCTGCTAAATAATTAAGGCACTGAAAATCGCTGTATTGCTCCATTCTTTCAGATTGGCTTGGACACCTCTTACTGGACAGTTGTGAACCAGTTCTTCATCTGGGGCAGCCTCTCTGTTTACTTTGCTATCACTTTCACCATGTATAGTGATGGCATGTACCTGATCTTCACAGCCTCCTTTCCATTCGTTGGTAAGCCCTGGGACAAATATGGATTGCGCTTAAAATGGGCATACTGTGGGGCTTGAATCTGTCGAGTATCTCTAGTACATTTTATTGCCTCTCTAGAGGCAATAACAGAATATATTGATTGCTTTTCTGCAAGCAATGCCAGGGTATCTCCGAGGGCTGCTGGGAAAGCTTATTTTGGATCCCATCCATCGAGGTGAACATGTGCCGTGTTCATGTCCTTGCACAAGAATGCACATTCACATGCAGCCACAGGAATGATCCTTTAAATAAACCTACTGAGGTGGCTGGAATGCTTTCTGCTGCTCTTTTGTATTCTGTTTCCAGGTGTCTGCAGGCAAGTATGTAGGAGATATGTGCAGAAGGATGTGTGTTCTTTTGTAAACAAGTTATCACGTTAGTATAGGAAAGCATAGAAGTACAACATCCAGTTAGACATGAGAAAAATGCCATGTGATTATGGTGAGCCTTCAGCTAGGTTAAATGGCAAATTCCTAACAAAAAAAAAAAATAAAATCCAGTGATGACCAGGTCTTTGGAGTTATGCTGCATAACAGATTTCTGAATGCATGCAAAATGTGAATGTTAACATAGAAATGAGTCTGTCTCCTGAGACTTTGACCAGGAGGAAGATGAAAGCTTAGCAGAGTAATTCAGATGTTTTTAATAGCTCTGTGCATCCCTAGCCAATATTGATAAATCATTGTTATGAGCCTCTACTTTTGAAATCCCACTGCTTTTTGTTTCAAGTGTCAGGTCGGTGTATTAATCAATGCCTGTATTTCTGGATGAATTGTTAAGCCAAGACTTGTTCTGCCCACCTTCACTGCAATACCAAGGTGCTTGGCCATTTCAGACATATCTGAGATGCAGGTCAGTTGTTGCAATGTATTTTCCAAGCAGATGGTCACATCCACTGTGAGATGGCTTTTAGTATCAAAAGTGCTGAGTGAGAGAAGGCAGAGTGTCTGTTCAGTTTCCAGAGATAAGTGAATAACTCATTTGCCAGGGATCTCTCTATCTGCTGCTCCGTTGATACTGCGTAGGTCAATTAGCCATAATGTGGAGTGCTGCTCAATAAGGTCTCAGCCTGAAACCATTTTTAAGGAAAGCGTTTCTACTCTGGACTCAGACAATTTGTTTACTTTAATTTCAGTGGAGTTGGATTACAGCGGAATTTGGCCAACTGAAAAGAAAACATTCAGCAACTTTACTGCCAACAACAGCATCATTAAGCCTTGTAATGAGGGCTTTGCAGACTGTTCTATCTTAGATTCCTTCAATTTTGGAGGACCCAGGAGTGAGCACTTTGGTTTCCATGAAGGTGGCAGTGTCACACCAGCACATGGTGGTTGCTCTGCCATAGGCCCATTAGGCCATGCTGTCTGTGCAGACACCCCAAGCAAGACACGCTCCTCTCATGAAGGGCTGTGATCCTATTGTCTACTGGCCGGTCAGGGTCGGTACTCCATATGCTTCAGGAAATGGTGCCGGAAAGTAAGAAAATAGCGTTCTTCCTTTTGTACTAGAGTCCTGGGAAAAGGTGATAGAGCTGGACTGCTGATAAAAAAAAGGTCTCGTGAACATTTATATCAATCCTTTGCAGTGATCTGACTCTTTGTAAAGAGGTGTCGTTCACTCTGACGTCCTTGTCTCCCTGAGTTGTTGCTGCAGTTGAGTCTGGACACTGCATTTTCCTTTGGTCATCTCAGACAGTCATACCCATATCACTGTCTTCTCTACTGCAAGTTGATTTCACTGTTGGAGATGGTGTCTACTTTGGATTTTGGTCTGTTTGCCAAGTGCTTTGGAATCAGAGAGGGTGAAAGGTCCAGGTGAATGATGGTGAGAGTGCTGCTGTTACGGTTTTAATCATGCTTTTGTTTTTCAGGTACGGCTCGAAACACCCTCAGCCAACCAAATGTGTGGCTAGCAATCTTCCTCAGTATCACCCTCTGTGTGCTGCCAGTAGTTGGCTTTCGATTCTTGAAGGCTCAGTTAAAGCCAACTCCCAGCGATAAAGTAAGGAGATACCTTATTACACCAGAAATCCTGCTTACTACCAGCTAAGCTTACGATGGAGGCATATTGCAGGGGCCTGGCATTGCTCAGAGTGTATGTCCCTGTAGGTGCAGGGGCTGCCACATCCCCCTGTCCCCTGTTCCCTTGAGAAGAAGGACTGAATTTGGGTTTTGGCACAGCTCAAACCATCTGCAGCTGGGACCAAGGGCTGAGGTGATTTAGATGTGGGGTAGATTGCACCAAAGTGAGGAAGCCGCGCTGTTTTTAAGTGCAGGGTTTAAATGCTGTGGCACAGTGGTAAAGCAGTGGAGATTTTCAGTCCTACCACCTCGCTGCCGCACCGCTTTCAGCCTGGCAGAGCGCAGCCCTTCACCCTCCATCCGTGTGTATGGGTTTGCTGGGGATTTTTTTCAACTTCGTTAGAAACCGATGGTTCTATGCTCCCTTTGACACCAGCTGCCCTCCCCAGGAATATGGAGACGAGGCCATTAGGGCACGGAGAGGCCAGGAGAGGTGGAGTGGGCAGAGAGAGCACAGCTCGGCGACCTCTCCAGAAGATGGGCATAAACGCAGCTCCACGGGCTGACTTTCAAACAAGAGCATCTGCTAAATGCTGCTGCCACCTGGTGCTTCTTTCCTCTTCCTGCACCCAGCAGGACACACGAGCGTCTCCGAGCGGAACCCCCAGGGCATCCTCCTCAGGGCTCCTCAGTGCCTGCCCTCACCATCCTTGGGATGTCTGTGAGGCTCCCCAGGTGCTCCAGGACTGTCGGAGAATGAGTGAAGGGGAATTCTCAGCCCTTGAAGAGGGAGTAGGTGGGTGCTAGAGAAGACTGCTAGGTAGGGAGGTCCTCAGGACACAGAGGCAGCTCAAGATGTGTAAAAACGGGCTGAGTTTTACCCTTCAGTTGAGTAGAAGTCCAACACAGCTGTGGCTGAGAATCCCAGCCTCAGTGCTTGGGTTGAGCATCTCTCTCTAGTGAAAAATTACTTTACTTTTCTACCTCCTGTGGGAAGCAGAATTATCATGAGGAATGTTTGGGTTTCCTGCTGTACTGAGCTCCCCAGCTGGAAGTATAGAAGGAACAATACAAGCCTGAAGCTTAAGAGAGGCCAAGTACCTACAGCCACCACTGTTCCTTCCAAGCAGGAAAGAGAGGGGGTCCAGTGGCTGGGGATTCTGCTGAGCCGCTGGCATTCAATACTGGTCTCCTGCCTTTGACAGCCCCTTTCTGAAAAGGTGCTTGCCTGCAGATGATCTCGGTGGCCATGTGGGAGCAGAGACCCCATTACCTGCAAATAAAGGGCATTAGTTCTTTCCCGTCTGCCAAGGAATATGAGAATCTGTTGATCACCATTCTTATCATAAAAGAGATCCTGTTTAGTAGCCTGTTTTCTAGATTAAGTAAGCCAATTTTTAAATGTTTCGTTATTTGTTTTCTCTTATTTGACTGAAGTGCCTAGAAGAGCTGTAGTAGTGCCCCAACCAAGGCATCACAGAGCTGTGAGGAGCTATACACTGAAATCACCCCCTCCCAAGTCTTAAAGATGACACTCCCATTAGCTCCTTTTAGAATAAGATTTGCTTTTCCTTTTACCAGGCTGCCATCCTGTGCTGCCAGTTTCGTCCCTGCTCTGCAAGCCCTCCTGCCATGCCACTGTTTTGTCAGTCACTTTTGGCTTTGGACCCCTGCTTCCATTTCCCTCTTTGCTCCTCTTTTACTGTGCTTGTGAATGATGATGCACTTCCCACTTTTTCCATCTTATTCTCTGATTTCAGGTCTTGCTCAAGATCAAAGAGGCCAAAAAGAGGCCACCTCCACCCTCACCCAAGAGACGCCTGCGTCGGACCAGCACGCGCCGCTCCGGCTATGCCTTCTCCCATCAGCATGGCTTTGGAGCACTCATTATGTCTGGGAGGAACATGCGGCCAAAATCCCCTTTCGCCACAACGGGAACATTTTCACCAAATAGTGACAAATATAAACACAAAGGACTGTAAAAAAAAAAAAAAAAAAGGAAAAAAGGACAAAAACCCAGCAAAGCAAACCAAAGTAAAGGGCTGTCAGGAGAGGAGGCTGTGGTCCCTGCAAAGCACCAAGCTAGTGGCCACCCAGAGGTCTGCCCTCCGGGCTAACAAATCAAGGATTTGGGCCTTTCCTTTCACCCACATGCATGCTCTGGCTCCATCTTCTCTTCCAAAGACTTGTGCTGCTCCTGGGAAAGGAAGGCAGGGTGAATTAGAGCTGTTGTATGGTATCCCAGAAGGCCTCCCTGGAACAAGAAAGAACATGCTGCAGGAGGCCCCTCCGCTCCTTGAGATTGTTCGTAACACTTTTTTTTTTTCCCTCCCTTTAACTACGTACCTCAGAGCAAAGAGAAGTCAATGTCTTTCTCATTCACGTGCCTTTGCTTCTGTCATGAATCCACTCTGGGCCGTATTACTGTGGTGACAGTATTGACCCCAGATGTGCCTTAGGTCCAGCCACACAACACCCAAATCCCCAATCTTTGTAATATGTGTAATTTTGTAGCCTTTTGACTGTACACAGGCACTTTGGAAGGCAACCTCCTTCCAAACTAACAGTTAATCCAGTTTCTCAAGAGATGGCCAGTGCCCAAACACCACCCTCTTCCTGCATCTGCAATCGGAGAGTGCTGCAAGCTCAGAGAGACCTTAGTTGGTCAAGGGACAAGGACTTGATGTTCGTCAGCCTGCCCTGTTTTATCTGCATTGCAAATCTGCTCCTGTAACAGATCATAGTCCTCAGAGCTCTCTCGGGTTTTGTAGCTGGACACCAGCCATTTCATTTAGACTTAGACTAAAAGGGCAGAAGCAGCTCAGGCTCCCTCATGGATAAAGCCATAAAAGCTGGCCCTGAGATGCCCATGTCAAGGTTAGGGATCATCTGAGCAGCCTCCACCAGGTGCCTCTCCCACCATAACAGGCTGAGGCATGCGCAGATCTGACTTGGTGGAGATCACGCAAGCAGTATCAGAGGCAGAGATGCTATTTCACGGCTCGCTCAGGGTCTCCTGCCCTTTACTCCACTGGTGCTCTTGCTCAGCGTAAGGGATGACGCACGACCTGGTGGCTCCCTCCCTCTCCCTGATGAATGCTGTGGGTCAAGTTCCATTAGCGCTCAGGAACTTCTGCAGAGTTTCTCTGTCCTGGCTAATGCTTTATTTGGGCTCATCTGTCAGTTATGAGTTGCAGAGAGCTGGTCTGGCCGCCAGCAGAGGGACCCAAGATGCACAGACACTGCCAAAGAGATGGTGATGCTGAGAGCCTGGGCTTTGTACACTGTTTTTTTACACCAGCTCCACAACCAGCGGGGTGACTGGGTGGAAGGCCAGCGTGGCAGCGTGAGAGCCGGTCCTGCCAGCACTGCTGAGCTGCCTAAATGGAGCTTTGTTGTGCAGAGGACTAAGCAGCGCTGGTTATTTTAGATTTTTTTTTTTTTTCAGCTTCTTTATAGAAATTTAGACTCCTTTCCTTGTTTTGAGTTGGATTTTTTTGCACAGTAACCATCTGGTATTTACTGGGAACTCTCTGCCTTGAGTTTCTGAGCTATCGGTGGTGGCAATGTATGATGGCAACAGGCCAGCCATGTCCCTATTTCATCCCATCTGCATATAACACCTTGCTGCCCATGGTCCCAGCTTCAGCAGTCACTGTATAATATTTTTAAGCTCTAATAGAAGGTTTCATCTCCCTGGGTTTAACTCAGCATAGAAAAAAAAAAAACAAACCAACAACAAAAACCCAGTCTGGTGCACCTGCTGCTTTGCAAACCCTGGCATTAAATTTCAGCATAGCCAGTGCAAAACTAGAGCTGGGACTGGATCCAGACTTCAGCAGCCAGGAGCTACTTGCTGGGGAAAGAGCAAATTCTAATCCACTGATCTCCCCTGCAAGGAGATACCTAAGCAAAGCGAGAGCCTGCACCCCGGCTGAGGAAACCGCTGTGATAGTTGGCGCTTATCACCGCCCTCTGATTTATCGTTCACTTTGCAGAGTCAGCCGTGGCTTTCTGATGAGGATTATGTCTTTTGCGGTCAGCCTCCCTGGGCTGAGAGGGGAAAAAAGAGAATTTATGCAGGTGGGCCCACATCCCCATGATACCCAGACTGGGCTGGACCAGCAGCCCTTGTCAGAGCTGTTTTTAGCAGGTAACACAGCAGCGTGTAATGCAGAGGCAGACCTTCTGCTGGCAGAGCAAGGCAGCTCTGAGACTGTGTCACTCTCCTCGTATAGTTTACGTGCAAAGCACTCACCTTCTGGCCAAAGGGAACTTGCAAATGCTGCACAGGACGTCTAGGGGATAATAGATCTGCTTGTGAACTTGCGCCAGATACAAATATGTCAGTGGTTTGACACGATCAGCATTTGAAACATATCAGCTGACAGTGATGTCTGTCCTACATCACTCCTGATTTTGTAAAATAAATTAAAAAAAAAAAAAAAATTGGGATGACTGATTCCTTGCCAGCATGCTAATTGATCAAAGGAGTTTACCACCAGATATTTCCAAACCGCGGATCCCGACGGGGACGTTTTAAGAGGAAATTCACAGGAAACGTCAGACATCCTCAGACGGAGGACGCCGACTGCCGGGGGAGGGTGATGGGGGGAGGGGG